TTCCTACGAAAGCTTTTAATTGTTCAGAGACCGTGTGCGATGAGTTTCCTGTCGGTAAGTGGTAATTTTCGCAAATAATCGGTAATGGACACCTAAATAGGTATATAGGTTCATCAGCTGTTTGCCAGTTTTATACAGCTGGCAAGTGCTTGCATGGGTGGAGAACCTGCCCCGGCCACCCCGGCCGTGGCCGGGGTAACTTTCAGCCGACCCCGGCGCGGCCGGGGTAACTTTTTCCACTTTTGTAAATCCTAAAAGCTGTCTCCATACGAAAAAACTGCCATCTATAAAAGCGTCTCTCATGATTCTTATCTACCTTGAAAAGTTCTTGAAAATTTATTTTATTTTCATTTTGGAGCTTCTATGTTTTTAAGTCTTTTCATCGCGGAGCCCAACATGTTTCATCAAAGTAAATCATATTTATGGGCCGTTATCGTAAGATGGCACTGACATCACAAGACAGGACGAAGGTAATATCAGTGAGATAGAAGGACGAGCTGCTGGGGCTCAAGGCTCCCCCAACTTAACCCGCGCCAGGGTGGTGGCCTTATCGTAACACGTTGAGTCGAGAGGTGGGCTTTTCACGCTCCTTCTAACTCGGCTACTGGGCTACGAGGCGAGAAGCGGAACGACGTTTGAAAGAGCGACAAACGTGATCAGAGAAATCTGGCCATGTTTTAGGCAAGCTCAATAATAAAATCACCATAGATCATCAAAAGCCAAATTTCTCTGATTTTAGCGTTCTCCGACAACTTTTCTCACAGTTCATGAACATAACGGAGCTTAAACACTGCAAACAAAACATTCGATTACTCGTTTAAGGCTCGGTCGCGAATAATATTTCAGGTGCGAGCTCAAATCAATAAGATGGTCAAAACGGTCAAATTTGACATTTTGTTTGGTGTGGGAAGGTTGCAACTTCCACGGAATAAGCTTTGCAAAGGGCATGATGGCATTTTTAGCACGAGCATCCAGCAAATTTGACCTGATGACCCCTAGCACTAGGTGACATGCGTCCGAAATTTTAAGGCGTGTTGCAAAATTGTTGTTACAATTACGAAATCTTCCGCACCTGCGTGCAGCAGTTTTCCCTAAAAACGTACAAACGGCAGACATCCATTATTCTATGCAACAGAATATGGGCTTGTTGAATGTTGATAACCGTTGACAAATATTTGAGCGTCATCGTCTTTCTGACTTTCGGTCGCCGGCCGGGGTAACTTTTTCAAACATTCTCCACCCGTGAGTGCTTGGTCGGGATGCATGAAAAATATAAAGTAAAAAATCAAATAAGCTGCTTATTCCCGACTTAGGAACATCTACGAACATAAATAAAGCGTGTCTTTGGAGTTTCATCACTTATCACGCTACAAACAGGAAACACCGCAACCTCAATTGGGGTAACACCGCGGGGTGGCGGTGTTCCCCAATAAGTGATCACAAGCAAAAATCGCCAGCGGTAAGAATGTACTACACGGTTCAAGCAAACTTATCTTACTGGACAAAGCCGATCAGTTATTTTTCGATGTAATCAAGTAAATCAAAATGAGTCTCTACTTAAAGACATTCAAAAGTGCTCCCAACTCATCGAATTTTTATAAGAGAATGTGCATTTTTCTTTAAATGCCCACATTGAGCTTCGATTACACTGAAGTCTGAAACACCGGAACACAAATCAGAAGACGCTTACCTTCGTGCGGTCAATAGGAAATAACGGATTTTTACACTTCACATGTTATACTTTCGCCGCCAGATGGGGTGGCGGTGTTTCCCACAGTGGCGGTGTTACCCCCGCTTCCCCTACAGCTTACAGTGACCTTCAAGGGCCCCTACGGGCCTCAGAGAGCCCTTTTTCACAGTTGATGTTGGTACACTTCTTTTTATCATGGATTACATGAATTAGTTTAAAAATAAAACACGGCCGGCGGGATGTTTGGGCCCATCGATTTGGCCCCTATGACCTATGGGGGTCTGGCCTCCGGCCCCCTTAGCTTCCCCATTGCTCTACGGCCCACACGCTGGCTTTGGAGCCCCATAAAGGCCGCACGCCAGCTCCTGAGACCCAACGCCGGCAATTCTAAGGGTTACCGGCGCACCGCACACGGTCTTTGAAGGTCCCATAACGGCCTCTGGAATACCTCATGTACATAGAAATATGGATGCCCACGCCGCTTCTTGGGCCCCCACACCAGGCTCTTTGACACCGTTCGCCGGCTCCATGGGGTACCAACTACTACCAAGCAAGCTCGCCTGGAGGTCCCCCACCGTCTCTTGGCGCCCGAGTAGCCTCGATGCCTGAATAGGGCCCCGAGACATCGACCTTGGCCAAAAAGTGTTCGTGTAGGCCCTCAGAAACTGGTGTGAGCCCTGAGATTACTGTGTGGGCTACTCAGGCACTTCTGTCGGGTCATCATGCATCGATTTGGGTCCGAGCTAGTGAGGGTTATCAGAAGCATCCTTTAGCCCTGCGACTTCAGAGGTTGGTGTGAGATCCTAAAAAAGAAAGTGAGGGCACTCCGAGGCTTGCAAAGGGCTTTTCCTCGGAGGTCAGCCTTGGCCGAACGGCGTTCCTCAAACTTGTGTAGGGCGCTGAGATTACTGAATGTGACTCTCGAGTATTGGCATGGGGCCCTCAGGAGCCGGTAAGGTAAGGGCTGCTTTGCGGCATGCATAAGCCATCCGATCTCAGAGGCCGGTGTGAGATCCTAAACAAGAGCTGAGTGCACTTAAAAACCTGCGTAGGGCCCTCAGAGATCAGCTTTGACCAGACGGCGGTCGTGGACGCCCTTAGAAACTGACGTAAGGGCCGCCTCAGTCGGTCAGCCCTCTCACATCAGCCTGGGGATCTCAGGAATCGGCCTGGGGCCCTCAAGAGCCGGTTAGGGTCCTCGGAAAGTGGCATTATACCCTGAGATAGCTGTGTAAGGCCCTCGGGTAACGGCTTGGGGCCCTCGGGCATCGGCCTGCGCCCCCGGGCATTGGCCAGAGGTCCTTGGATATCGGTCTGGGGCCCCTCAAGAGCTGGCGAGGGCCTTCAGAAACTGGTATGGGGCCCTGAGATAACTCTGTGGGCTTTCAGGTGCTGATGCAGGACCCTTGGGCATCGGCCCCAAGAGGGGTTAAGGAGGGCAGGGGGCAAGGGGCCCTCAAGAGCCGGTTAGGGCCCTCAGAAACTGGCGTGGATCCCTGAGCTAGCCATGTAGGTACTGACACCGGCGTGGGACCTTTAGACATCGACTTGGGGCCCTCGGGCATCAGCCTGGGCCCTCAAGAGCCGGTGGGAGCGCTAAAAAATGGCGTAGGTGGGGTTCTGAGATAACCCCTGAGATAACACTAGAACCTATTCACGCCTTCAGGCACCGGTGCGGGACCATCAGGCTCGCGCTGGGGCCCTCGAGAATCGGCTTGGACACTCAAGCGCCAGGGCCGCATGGGCCCCCACAACGAACTGTGGGTGTGCAAAAATAGGTGTTTGCACACCCTCAGGATTTTCAGGGTGTGCAACTGCACACCCTGCCCCCCGGAATCCGCGGTCCCTGGGCCGGAGTGCTGGCGGACGGGGGCGATGCGCTCAGCTATCATGTTTTCCGCGCAGCTATTACCATTTCGGAGATGCTGCCGCGCCTCATTAGTGCCCGCGCGCTGAAATGGTAATTGGATTGCATTATTTAGGCGCACAATTAGCCTCCCCCACTTGTGTCGCCATCCAGGCACTTTCCGACCATTCAAATCACGGTCGTGGGGCGGCGGCCGTCATTTCTGCCCGTCACCACGGTCTGTTGGCCGTCGCGCCTCAGCCCGCCCAATGCGGCATGTTGTGATCAACGGCACAGCCACCACAGAAAAACACTCAACTGGGAGTTGGGACTGTTCAGCTGCATAACATCGACACATGCACACGTGTCATAGGAAGCGTTTGTAAAACTTCTATATTACTAGAACGGACAGATATATGAATTTCCAGCAGGGTTACGAGGACTGGGAATGTCAGCAATTCACCATGCTGATATACAGGGTACTACAAACGACTAGTGACTATGCCGTGCTAAGACGTCTGGGATTCCGTGAGTGGCTGACGCCTTGGCGCCTTTGAAATCACGGAATCCGGCGCCAGGTCTGCTCTCCATCAAAGCATCAAACCCTGCTGAGCGGTCGGCAGTCATGAGCGTCAGCATGGTCCCACCGACATACGGATACCTCCGGCCGACCACCCGGTCACGATCGGCGCGGCCATGAATTTCTGAGCCGGCCCGGACTCACGGACCTGCGCGACCGGGCCAATAAACGTGGCCGTGTCGCCGGCCGACGGACACGACTGAGCAGTGGAACACATCAATGATGGAACACGCCTCGCCGCCCAGACCGCTCGCGCTGGCCCGGTCACTGCTGAAGTCACTGGCACGGTCACTGAGAGGTCACTGCTGAGGTCACTGGCACGGTCACTGAGAGGTCACTGGTCCGGTCACTGAGAGGTCACTGGTCCGATCACTGAGAGGTCGCTGGTCCGATCACTGAGAGGCCACTGGCCCGGTCACTAGGAGGTCACTGAGGGGTCACTGGTGCGGCTACTGCTGAGGTCACTGGTCCGGTCACTGGCCTGGAAGGTAAGATCGCCGGTCCTGATCACCAGGGACTCAATGGTTTTCAGCTATCTCTGGGAGGGACTGGAAAGGTCGAGCTGGCTCTGCTACAGGGCTTTGTTTTGAGGGACGCTGGGTGATTCGATGGTTCATGTTGCGCTGCTGGTGTTCTCGTGCATTATCACTGAACGCTGAGGCTCAAGCGCCAACTGTTAACGCCTGGTTACTCTGCTTCAGTTCACTATACTGTTTTTATGTTTCCCATCATTCAGTCCCCACAGTAAGCTGGGAGTCCTCTATTCGAGAGCTGCAGCTCCAGCCCGTCACGGACGGTTCGCGGCCGACCTGCGCGCCGCCTGTCGGCGGGCGGCGCAGGTGCCAGCTCCCGGTGGAGGAGGCGGCGCCCGGCGGCCGGCGGCCGGCGTCAGTCAGCAGCCAGCTCCGGCGGCGGTGGTTGGTACGGCACGGGCCGAGACCGGGCTGAGGCGGACAGCACGAGTGGACCGACAGCAGACGGTGACTGATACAGGCACAGAGAGACTGAGCAGGCCGGCCGGTCGGCGAGCCGCGCGCACCAGAGGACGGACGAAGGACCTCCCGAGACCGAGGGGAGCGGCGGGAGGACGGTCTTCTGGTCTGTCTCGCTGAGGACGGACACCATGGGGACGCAGCTGCTGGGGACGGCCGTCCTGCTGCTGACGGCGCTCTCAGGTGAGTCCCCGTCCTCCGTTCAGGAGTGGGCTGCTCAGACAGTCTGCTCCGCCGGCGGGGAGGGCTCGGACAGCCTGCTCCACCGGTCGACCCTATAATGGACGAGGCGGGGTCGGAGGTGGCCAGGCAATTGCACACAGAAATGGTGTATGGATCGGCTACTCCGCCATGCCGTCCGAGCCGACGCTGTGCGTACAACTGGCGTTCGACAGATGGTCGACATTGCCTACTCAAATGACACATTGTCTGACCAGTGACCAATCAGGTTAGGCACGTAATAGAATGTCCTGATGTTTGCATATCCTAAGTCCTCTTTTGATTTTTCCCATGATTCCCTGGGTGTGCACCATCTATTTACATTTCGAGAGGAACGCTTTAAGCAGCGGTGAACTGTAGCAATGAAGTTGCCTGGCCGCATCAATCTCATCCTAGCAAGATGTGACCGTCGGTTAATACGATCAGCTGGACCTTGCAGATCACAACACAACGGAAATTGACTCATAAATTACAAAAGAAATAGCAATTAACTGTTACATTCAAAATACATTAAAAATGAAGACAGTTAAGAATGAAGGAGAGAGACATTTGATTGCTACCATTGATTGTAGGAGGCATTGGTTGCCTAGCTCTTCATATTGTTTTTTTTTTTTTTGCTATACGTCTCCATGTTATGCGTTGACGACTGTAAAATATTCTGCGTTCTTTGTTAAAAGATCGGTCGAAAGCTGCTCGCCGGGCTTATCTGCACGATATGGGTGATTGTTATCCAGCGAACGGATGGACCGAGCCGGGCTGATCTCCCGGGACAGGCCGATCGCCGCTGCAGTGTAGTGCGTGATTTTCGATAGACGGCAGCGGAACGCCACCGCGCAGAGACCTTACCTGTACCTCTCCGAGCCGGACCACACAGCAGACGCGCCGGCGATGAGCTCCGGGGGACGGCGCGGCGCCGGGCCGGGCAGTCGTGGCGTCTGCAGTCATATGCATGTGAATTGTCCTGCGACGGGTGACGGACGCACCGCGATCAGTCAGTGCCGGCGGGGGGCCGAATCGCCGCCACGCGCCGCCGACCATAAATAAGACGGGCCGGACGGCGCGGCGGCCGGCAGCGCGGCCAATAAGGCAGCGTGCTCACTCCGTGCCGCGAATCCCGAGTCCTCGCCGAATGAGTCAGTGCCGGCCGGCGCCGCGGTCCATAACCGACACGCTCGGCTGTTGGTATACACGGCGCACGGCCACAGAGTGGCGGATTCACTGGACAATTTCCAGTACCAAGCAGGCGTTAAATTTAAACTGTCAGATTGTATCAGAATGGGCCACTGTGACGTATATGTCTGGGCATGATTAAGTATCGATCGTCGTAAATCAGACCGCTGCAGTGACCTTGCAGCGTTCGCCCAGTATCATCATGAGTTCATCATCTGAGTTGTCAGGACTTGACGTCTGTGAGCCCCTGGGGCAGAGCCATTGATTCAGACAGGCCCGGCGGACATCCTTCTGGAGACTGTGTCACCATGTTCCCGGCGACAGAGGCCGATGTTTTCACAATGCCGACACGGGAAATGTCACTCGCGTTACCTCACATCCCTCGCTGGAAGTGCCGGCGAAAGGTGGCGAAATGATCGCGGGACGCCCACTTCATTCCCTTTACTTTTTGACAACCCGAGAATGCCAAGTGTCCTGGGTGATATGAGCGGTTGAGCTTAAGTTGTGGCTGGCACGTTTAGCAAGTACCTCGTTCAGAACCGAATAGCAGCACTCTCTCAAGGTGTTGTTTCCTCACCGGCTATGCCCGTCTCCTGGCGCTACTATATGCTGCCCTTGCTGTACTCGAGCTTCCCTAAGTTACACCCGGGCTGCGTCCGCACTGTGTCCATGGGTGAAACTTTGACATCACCATTGGGGTCCCAAACGTCCAAGGGGGCCTCCATTTAGTGGGGGCCTCCAAGCAATTAGGGGCCTCCAATTGCGGAAGCGGTAATTTACGAGCCACGCCAGGGCCTCCTCTAAGAAATTTTCATTGGGGGACCAGAGGCTCAGAAGCCAAACATAGGGTACCCCCAAATCCAGTTTTCTCATCGGATTTAGGCCACTTATTTTTCGTCACAGCTCTGATGCCATGATTTTTTTTTTTTTTAATATCGATAAAGAAATGGTAGGTCACCTGACCCTACTGGTGGATCCAGGCCAGCAGGGTGACATTGTATGTAAATATCCCCCGCGGCATCCGAAATCGACGAAAATTTCTGGCTTTTTCACTTTTGACAATAAAACACAATGCCTTTATAATAGAAAAAAAAATTAACGGCACAGCATTGCGCAAGGAATCTAGCCGTAAGCCGACCCCAGAAAGTGTGAGGGTTAACCTTCGCCGGCACCTGGGGGGAGGGTCGCCACCCCCAAGTTAGTTTTTCTGCTCTACACTTAACATTTTTAAAGCTAGAAACCTGATTTTCTTTGTATAGCTGCTTTTCTATCTTTTCTCAGCGTCCATTGAAAATTTCAAGCTTCTGCGGCATTTGGGTTTGGAGATATGACCTTGTTCTTCAGGTCATGTCATGTCCTAAATGACGAATACCCAATATCTTGCGATGGCTATGGGCCTTGTGAGCTTTTGACACGCTGATTTCGGCTTTTTTTTGCCAGTCTTACCTCCCACCTATCATTGAACATGTTGTTCTGCGATGTACAGATGTCAGAGTCAGGGTCAAGGTCAACCTAGGTCATCTAAAATTATTGCGCTTTAGGCAAGCTGAATTTACTTTTCGTGAAGTTTCTTTGACTGTATGTTTAGTAAAAGCTTCTCACTTCATGATCAAGTGTAATAGGGACACACAAACCGATCTGTGCACACATCAGTACATACACAGACATACACAGACATACAAACACATATCATTGACCTTGACCTAACTTGACGTGAAATGACCACAGCCAGCAAATTAGTCGGATAGTGTGACAAAGAGCTGTTCTAGCTCGCTTGGCACTAATACGGCAGCGTCATCGGTATATGATGGGTTGGCCCGCTGCTTGTGTAGGTATCTTATTCGACATCACCACAATTTTTTCTTACAAGATTTTAAGCCTTGCGGTCAAGAGCAACAGATTCTTTGGGAAGTGACGAATCCAATGATACCAATTTTACCTCATCAGGTCAGTCATTGACCTTCCAGGTCAGGTCAAACTAAAGAATGTTGCTGTTTGGGGTCACCGTTGCCCGTTGGAATATCACGTGCGCTGCTCATCATGTACCGATGACGCTGCCGTATTGTGGTGCCAAGCCAGCTAGAACCTCTTTGTCACACTATCCGACTAGGTTTTTGCTGGCTGTGGCAGTGGCGGCGGAAGGTAATTTTGGATGGGGGTGCAAAGTTTTCTCAAGGGGCCCCTCTGGAAGTTTTGGGCCCCCCATTCATTTTTTTTTTTTTTTGAGTGATTATTATTGATTTATGAAAAACGAAGATTTTAGAAAACTGTCCCCATACACATAAGTTCTGTAAAAGGTTTGAAATTGCAGTGTGCCTACCTATTTCAAATAATGAAAGCATAAAGAAGCAAATGCAGCTAGTTTTTTTCTAATTTGTTTATCGGCTAATCTTTTAGTCTAGCCACCACCCGCAGCGTCTCAAGCCACTTTCTGGATCCGCAGTGAACCATTGAGGGCCCTACGAGACCGTTCCAAGAAGACCGTGCTTAGAAGCCCCTTGGAAACCGACCACATAAAGACTCCTCCAGAGACCTACATGACTCCCCAGACTGAATGAGCCCTCCGATCAGGGTCGGTCCCTTGAAAGTTGCTGAAAGGTTTCAGAAGGCAGTATAGGTCCGAAAGTCTTTTGAGGGCTCTCAGAAACCGGCATCGGACCCCAAAAAAAGCCTGTATGGAGGCCCTCCAAAGCCGGGATGGAGGCCACAGGAGCCGATGCTTAGCCTAAAGAGCCGGTATGGAGGACTGAATAGGGGAAAGGGGGTCTCAGTGTCAGTGGGGCCTTCAGGGGCAAGCGCTTGAGCCCCAAAAGTATGTGTGGGGTCTTAGAGGCAGGTAGACCCCTGGGGTATATGCACGGGGTCCCAGGAGCTCGCGTGTGAGCCCAAATATCCGGCTGGTTGCTACTAGAACCAGCATGGGGATTCTTAGAAGCCGCGTAGACCCACATTTCATGGGTCATGAGTCCCAAGAGTCGATGTAGGGGCCATAAAAGCCGGTGTAGGGCCCATGGCCCCCATAAGTTCCGGCACTGAGACTCTCAGAGGCCGGCGACGGGGCATCAAGAGCAGATAAAGTGCCTCAACAAGCCGACATGGGGCCTGAGAATCATTGTGGAATTCTGGGAGCCTGCGTGAGCTCTCGGAGACCTTCGTATTTCGTAAGGTCCACAAAGGTCGTTGAGCCCTCTGAATCTGAACTCTGCGGGGCCCTCAGATGCCAGCATGTCTCCTGGCACCTGCCTGCGTTAAGTTGAGGCCCTCCGAGGCCGTCGTAGGGTTCTTCAGAGGCCAGCGTTGGCCCTTGAAGCCTTCGTTAGGCCCTAGAAGCCGTCAAGAGGGCCCTCAGAGGTCAGCATGGCCCCTGGAGCCTGCCTGCGTCGAGGCCCTCAGAGGCCGTCGTGGGGCCCTCAGCCGCCAGCGTGGGCCTTTGGAGCTTCCGTTGGGTCTTAGAGACCATCGTGAGGGTTCAGAGAGGTCGTCGTCAGGGCCCTCAGCCCCTTAGGGACCATCCTGGGGTCCTCAGAAGTTGTTGTGAGGACCCCATGGGCCCTCAGATACCTTTGCAGGGCTCTCAGAGGCCTTGGTAAGAACGCTAGAGGTCATCGTTAGGGCCCTCAATAGACCGTTGCAGGCCCCCAGATGCCAGCATAGCCCCTGCAGCCTGGCTGTGTTGGGGCTGTCGCTGGGCCGTCTGAAGCCAAATGGGCCCTCAGACTTGAGTCTAGGGCCGTCACGAGGGCCCTCAGCGACCGTCGTAGAGGCCCTCAGAGGCCAGCGGGGCACCTGGAGTC